CGTCCTGGGGGCCTGCCACCCAAGCGTCAAAGCTTGGCAGCCCCTCTGTATCCTCCCCTTCTTCCACTATAGCAGGGGGCCACACGGGCAGCCCCTCCTCATTGAGCTCCCATTTCAGCCTCACCCTGGTATCTGCTGGAGGGGCGAGACTCTTCCCTTCGCCATCGATCTCCTTGCCCTCAAAGAAGGCCAGCTCGCCGATGGGAAAATCAGCCCGAGTCTGCAACACCTTTCCACGAACCTCGTTGAAAATGTCCGTGGTGGTGTTGGCAGAGGCGACTGCAACATCATCTTGGAACATCTCTGCTCCCACCAGCCATTCAGCCCCCTGTGCACGGGCAAAGCAGACGTCGCACTGGTGAAGCCTCCTGGTGCTCTCCAAGGACGCCTCTGCTCGCGCAACGTGCTGATCGGCTTGTGACACCCGCTCCCTCAGGGCGCTCAGCTTGTGCAGAGTCTTCTCTTTTTCAGACTCTGCCTTCATAGCTCGTTCCTCTGCATGGCCGAGCTCCTCCTTAGCAGCTTGGATGCCACTTTCCTTCTCCACTCGGGCCCTCACGAGCTCATCCTTCAGCTCGTCAACCTTACAGGCCAGTTCGTCAGCTCGACTTTCAGCTGACGCCGCTCGGTCTGCCATCTCCGAGCTCTGCAGACGACTGACCTCGTCAGCCAAACTGGCTTTTTCAGTGGCCAGTTGTTTGCAGCTCTTCTGGAGTTTGTTGTTTTGCACCCGGGCTCTCTGCTCGCACTCGAACAGCGCGACAGTGTAGCTAAACGCCTGCAATATGTGTTCACTCGTCAGTTTATAGCAAAAACGTGGTAAAACGCAACAAGGAGCTCGGCAAGTATACTTACATCCATCAGCTTGATCAGCGCAGCATGTCCCCTATGCTGCTGAATGTGCCCCTTTGCACGCAACTGGTCTGCGGGGGGCACAAAGTTCTGCATACCCTGCAGCATGGCAGCATGGCATTCAGTTCGCACGTAACTGAAGCCGTCTGGGTATGCAATCCTAGGGCCCGCCACAGACGACGAGGTTGGTGCTTGCTCGGTGACCTCACGAGCTGGAACCGGGGGCACATTGCCAGGTCGTGCTGCAATGCCCGGAGCGGGCTGCGAGCCGGCACTGGTCCTCCGTCGGATAAGGGGAACGTCGTCCTCTGTGTCTGTGTCCTCCCGTGCGCGCCTTCTTGAGCTGGAGGGCGCCGGTTCTGCTCGTTGCTCGACACGCGGCCTTTGTGACGAGCTGGAACTCCGTTGCTGGGAGCTGCGCCCCGGCGCAGCTGGTGGCCGCTCGTCAAAACGAGATTGGCGTTGGGAACCGGACCCGGCTCCTCGGTTCCTGGAGCCTTGTGCTCTCAGACATTGACGCTCTAGGATACTGCTCATGACTCCTGCAGAAATAAAAGCATAAGACTCAGATCGGCTGGAAACTATACTATTATATAAAAATATACCTTGAGAGTGTAGATTTGCCACGTTGACAAATCCGTGAAGTGCGATCTGCTCCGGGGTAACCAAGGTTTCTAAATCCACCAGCCCCCTCGCCTTCACATGGTCGAGCAGCCGGTTCTTCAGGTCGACATCACCACTGGTCAGTTGGGGATAGTTCATATACGTGTTCGGCGTACGCCACTCTGACAGAAGGGCGGCGAGCTCGTTATTAATCCTGTCAGTTCGCGTATCCCGCACGAACACGAACTGTCTTTTCCACCTCGCTACCTTATTTCTGATGTTGGTGAAGATCATCATCTTTTCCCTGCCCAAGATGTAGTACCACCTTGTCCCACTGGTGGACAGGCACAAGTGGCAAAGGAAGAGCGACCTGAAGACCACCGCCTTTGCAGGCATCCCCAGCCTTTCGCACAACAGCATAAAGCCTATGATGAACTTTATGCTGTTGGGAGTGAGTTGCGAAAGGGCCAGCTCGTACTCTGCCAGGACATCGAAAATTAGTCCGGGCAGAGGAAAACGTAGACCGGCGTCAAAATGGTCTACGTATACTGGCACCCAGCCCGTCCGTGACACTGAACACGCCCGTTCATTTGGTGTCCCAGCTCGGATCAGGATGGTCCTGGGGATCTGGAATCGCCTCACCATCTCCTCCAGCTTCTTGTACCCCTTCACTGTGGCCGCGCCATCTGCGACCTCGTGATGAAGCACCGCCCTGAACTTGAAGCCGGCCGGCAAGGTTTTGGGAGCCTTGCGAAGGTTGTCCAGCCTTCCACTGAGAACCTTGCTCTCCCACCCTTCGAACACCACCACCTCTGCTGCTGCACTTGTCACCAGTGCACTGCAGCCAACCTCCTCAACGCCCTCCGCCCCACTAGCTGTCTCTTCCATTGACGAATCACTGGAGGTTGAAGGATGGTGGCCCTCAGAACCACCGCTCACGCTCGAACTGGCGTCACTCCCAGGCGTGGCGGTTCTGGGCAAATCCTACAACTCCGGCGGCACTATCATCGTGATAGGCTCCACAGATATCACATCAACATCCTCCTCCTCACCTTGGTTACCCCGGAACCCTTGTGCATCATGGAAAGAAGCCATTTTTACCTGAGTACTTGAAGGTGAACGTGCTTTCGCTTGAAGTCTGGAAAAATGGCCGTGAATATCTCTGCAATCTTCTCTGAAAAAGTACGAGTGTGCTTTGCAGTGAAATGAAAAGAAATGACCAACTGTTTGTTTTGTTTTGACCGTTCAGATGATGCTCCGTAAACGCCGTATACGTGTTTACGGCCCCCCAGTTAAGCGTGTCCACGTGGAAGCCATTTACGGTTAAAAACCCAAAGCGTGCCGTTTGCAGTTGTCACGTCCCCTCAAATGCTGAGCCAGCATTTATTGCGCGGAGGCAAAAGGGTATCTATTAAAAGCAGAGGAATACCGAATGCCCTGAGCAAATCTCCTCAGAGATTCGCCACAATCGTTGAAAAATCCGAAGGACTAGATCGCGACAAATTTCAATGATCAGCTTGTAACAAATTCGAGAGATTCGCCACAGTACACATTTTGAAAGTCCCTACGTTCAGCTCGCAACAAATCCGCGATCTCCTCACAGATTTGCCATAATTCAAAATTTGAAATTCCCGAGAAATCAGCCCGTTACTAATCAGAGATCTCTGAAGAGATTCCAAATTTGAAGTCTCTAGAGGTCAGGTCGCACAAATCAAGGATTCACCTCGCTCTCGGACATCAAGCGTTAGATTGTAACCACCTTCTTTAGAGTTGCGCTGTATCCTAGCAATCTATGCTGAAGTGGCGAATGAGGTCGCTCATCTCGGCCACCTGGGGTCGGCTCGTTAAGCTCGTTCGCTATTTGCTCGCCTCCACTCTTCCGCAGAGAATTCACTATGCAAGGTCCCCCTTGCGCGCCTGCCCGACCCTCAGGTTGGCGTCGAGCTCGTCTAGCTTTCACATCAACTCCTCACGCCTGCTCGGCAACATGCCGCCATGCATGTGCACATTCGGCAGGCATGATGTCGTCAAGCCGATCAGGTCGGCCATGCGCAAGGTCGTTCGTGTACATAAAACATCGCTCCTCATCTTTAGGACCAAACACCATGCTCACCAGACTCTCCATCCAGTTCGTCAACTGAACGCTGAGGGGGGAGTAATGTTGGGATTAGGCCCAACGCCCACTTTGGGCCACATATAACAGGCCCAACTATGCACACACAGACCCAAGAGGAGGAGACATACCCACGTGAGCAGCGCCACGTGGGCCAATGAGTTACTTACATGTATAGAAGCCTGTCTGTCTTTGGGGGTATAAATACCCCCCAACTACCAACAATGAAGGTAATTAATCTCTACGCTTCTCTTTCTGCAATTACTCCTTGAGAGCATCTCTCTCTAGAATATTGAGTATTGCTGACTTGAGCGTTGGAGTGTTTTCCCCGATGAAACAACCTTGGGATTTTCAGGTGTAGAAGCAGCTAAGGACTTCAACAGTGTTGGACTGCGAAGCTGCCCAAACAGCTTGGATGGCATTTGGAGTTGTTCTGCAACACCCTCCTACAAGGGAAGCTCCGACCTCGCACCAGTTGTTCACATAAGAGACAAAATCATCATCTGAGACCCCAGT